CTCCTCTCCAAATTAGTTTACAAATAAACTTCACTTGAAAAGACCAAGAAGTCATAATTCACTCCATTTACTTGTTTCAAACCTTTATGAGTTTCTTTTTTCAGTTGAATGCAAAAGGCGATATTTTGAAGAGGAGTCTTTGTTTTACTTTAGAAGCCAATGGTTATAGGTTTTTAGTGATCTTCAAAATATCTTCTTTATTGTGCAACAGAATAAAAGAAACTTAACACATTTTTGGATAAACTTCTAGTTTGAGTTGATTCACTCACTACAATTCTGCAACACAAAAGCTGTCTGATTCAGATTCAGATTTAATTCACTAATCAGTCAAACTGATTTGTTGATAGATCAGTTTTTTAGTTCAAACTCACTGACTCTATAATGCAGTCGCACCACAATTTCTGGAAAGATCTGTGACTGATATTTTTTTAAATATGACTCATACACCTACCAACTCTTTATTTCAAAAGTCAGTGATACTGTAAATACAGAATAAATGTCATTTAAACCGTTTTCTTTTAAATATGTTATAATTTATGTATTTTAAAATGAATTTTCAGCACTCATTACACCGGTCTTCAATGTTGCATGCTTCAGAAATCATTTCAATATGCATATTTGATGCACAAGACACATGATATGAAAGAACATATTTGATACTTAAGACACAAGAAAGAAATGCAACCCTTGAGACAAAACTAGACAGGAACTTTTACCACCTTACAAAACGAAATAAATAATAATGTAGACTTTGCATGCATGCTTTTGTATGCTTTCATCTGTATTTCGTATTGTCTGAAAGATATCCGCATGGGGAAAACTACAGTAATTTATAATAAACATGTTTTTGAAGCACATAGTAAAGTGTATAATGTGTACAACTCTTTGTTAATGAATGCTACAGAATGTTGTAGCATAGTAAACTGATTAACTGTAATAAATACTGTAACATTACTGTAAACTGTGGTGCTGTGATGGTGTATAATTATAGTGTAGAAAACTAAAGCCTACTGAATAATTTGTTTACTGCAGTAGTGTCGTACCACAGCAACAATATACTTACTTTGACCATTAAATTCAAGTAATTATCTATAGTATGCTTCCAAACACTTGTAACATAGGCCTCAAACTCAATTCCTGGAGGGCCGCAGCTCTGCACAGTTGTGCTCCAAACCTAATCAAACAGTATCTAGAAGTATCTAGTGGTCTTGAACACCTTGATTGGTTGAATCAGCTGTATTTGATTAGGATTAAAGCAAAACTGTGGAAAGCTGCGGCCCTCCAGGAATTGAGTTTGAGATATGTGATTATTTTGTATTTATATCTCCTTTGAAATATGGTATAAATCACAAAAAACACTGTCTCCCATTCAGTTTTTTACTTCCAGACCTCCATCTGAGTTATGTGTGCCACCAGAACCACTTGACTGAAAACAGGCTATACTGTTTCAGAAGATATTGAATAGGTCTAGGGAGTCTAACAGTATTTGTGTACAGAAAATTAAAGTAAAATGCAAAAAATGCTTTTCTTACTTTGTTTTATCTTGTTTCTAGTCCACAAGTCAAAAAAAAATCTTAAACCAACTAAAAATAATTGTTCAGTTTTCACTGTCAGAAGAAATATTAGGAGATTTTGCTTGTTTTAAGGAAATTATCTGCTTTAAATGGGTTTGGTGAAATAATTTACTCAGTTTTCACTCTGAAATGGAGATATTTAGACTAGAAACCAGACAAAAATTCTAAAAAATGTTTTTGCATGAATCAAATAAATTCCACATAATCACAGGGATTAAATACAATTCAGATTGGACATTGTATATTTTTGCGATGTGACTATTGCTTATGTGCACGTTGTGATATTGCTGCTGAAATATAGTATATTTTTCTAAGTTTTTCTTTCTGGTATTTTAAAGAACAAAAACTGTAACCACTGACTTCCATAGCAGGAAAAACAAATACCATGGAAGTCAACGGTTAAAGGTTTCCAAATGTTTTTAGAGTTTCTTCTTTTGTGTTAAACAGAAAAAATAAACTAAAACTCAAACAGATTTGTAACAAGTAAAGAGTCAGTAAATGATGACAGATCTTCATTTTTGGGTGAACTACCTTTTTTAAGATGTCAAAACTCCAGTATCAATTCTCTGGAACTGCATGGGGAAAAAAACATTAAAATTCCTTAAAACAGTTTTTGAGTTCCACAGAAAACAGTCATACAAGTGTGGCTTAAGGGTGAGTTGAAAATTATGACAGGATTGACTGAATTGCTTCTTTCATTACTGTGCTTCTATGACTTTCTCACACTTTCAAAGAAAATTATTTACACAAAAAGTACCAAAAATCACCTTGAAGCACTTTGAGTAGGATCTTACAGTATTTGCACACTTTTTGGATATATAGTGGAATTCCTAGCACTTTGGAGCACCATATAAGCATTAGCTAACATGGGTGCCACACACAATTAAGTACACAATTGAATTGTAATTGAGAAGCAACAAATCAGTTTTATCTGTTTTGTTTTTGATGATATACAAAACAATTATGAGTGTATTGTTTTGATTGTTCTTATAAAGTCCTTGAATTGTTAATTTAACTTCCGTATTTGTTTATTGATGGATGTGTTTTGTATTTTATAATACATTTTATTTATACAATTTCTGGATTTCGATCAGGGTTGTGTGATTAATCGAAATCGAATCGCATTTTGAAACATTGTGATTAGTAATTAAATTCATTTTTTAAATTCCCCCGCCCAAAGTAAATGAGTGTGTGACAGTCTTACTAGTCAATTGAGCGAGCTCACGTTTATTCTGCCCAATCAGAATTGCACAACCGAACTACAACCACGTAAAAAAAAAAAAGAAATCAAACTGGAAATCGCTGACAAGTGGGATGATGGCGTCTACTACTTCAGAAGCATCAATAGACGAATTAATATCAATGAAAACCAGCATTTGTAATATGGGAATATTTTGGTTTTAAAGTCACAGACACCGAACAAAAACAGGTAACATTTTTAAGAGCTGTTGCAGAATTGTTGCCATGGCTTACAGATTATTGAGCTGAAGCTTGACTTAAAATTAAATCATAAATCAAATCGCAAAATCTGTCATAAATAAATAAAAAATTTTTAAAAAGTAGAAAAAAAAAAAAAAAAAAAATCGCAATTAGATACTTTCCTAAATTTCGATGTTTGTTTGTTTTGTGTACCTATTGTGTAAAATCTGTATGTAAATCTGTATGTAAATTTGAAAACTGCAATAAAAACTAAATGAGAAAAAAGTAATACCAAACAAACTCCCAGGATTTATTAAGCTTTTTCTCAATAAGATTACATTATTAAAAAAATAATAATGATATTTTCAAACAACAGACTCAAATTCGATGTTATTTAACTGTCCCTTGATGACTGACAGAACTGTCCAAGCAATTTTTGTGCCTATATCAAGGCTATTCAATTAGTTTGTCATGGGGCCCAGTTCATGAAAAGCATCCCAAATGAGGGGCTGGAGAGATATGACTTGCAATATAAGTGATGACACAACAGCATATAAGAGCCCATATGTTGTAGTTTTGCTCCTTAAGACACCCAAGTTGTATTTTTCTACATTAAAATGTTAATATGTTGTATTTTAAAACTACATAATATCAGTGCATTGTACAATGTGGCTTTTTTTTTTTTACAAACATTCTAATGTTGTATTTCAAAGCAGTGCATTGCTTAAATAGGCTTCTTCTACATTCAGACACATTCATATGTTATGTTTTGAACTGCATTACAATTATAGATGCAACAATTAAAGATTTTGGTTGTACAATTATATAGTCTGAAGAATAATCATGGTTTCATGGTTATCATGTTTAATGTTTATTTAAGCTTTATATTAGGTAATTATTTAAATGAACTGTTGTTATCATCTGCGTTCACACATACATAATATTTTTAATAAATTGCAATAATTTGTCTAACATATCTTTAGTTTACATTGCACCGAAAACCACACACAACTCTCAACGCTACGGCTTGAGATGTTTTCTACTCTGTCTGAAAGGCGTGAGCGTTTCGCTCCGCTTGCGCGCGCATGCATTCTTGCATTGGAAATACCGAACATGCACGTGGAAAAGACGCAATTTGTGTATGGCCCGCTGCTATAGTAATACAGTGTGCATGCACAGGTGGCATAACTTTGTTTAATTGTAGCGGTTTTGTTCCGTGCAACAGAAACATGGCGTTGAGAAGCCTTTAAGCTTAAGTATCCAAATGTTTTCGGCTGCTCGTGCCACTCGCTTAATGTCAGGTGACATTAGACTGCAGCTTGTGCTGTATTGAACAGATGCATGCCACTTTATAACTATAGTGGCCAGTTTTAGACTGAACTAAATTTATTTTTAATGTCTTGGTCACACTATTTGGAGGGCTGGAACAAATTGCCTCGAGGGCCAAGTTTGGCCTGCAGGCCGACAAATTAAATAGCCCTGGCCTATATGATGACCATGACACTTTCAAATAAAAGCAGCATTAAAAAACCACCATGGACTGCTCCTTAGATAGATTTTAGCGTGCATTTTGGATAAACCATGGAACTATTAGCACTTTGGACCACATAAATACTCAGGGATGTACACACTCCCAACAGTCATTGGCAGTCCATCAATACGTATAAAAATGGTGTCATTTGCGAAGAGTAACCTAATAGTTGAATCTCCTTGACATTCCCATAGTGCAGCTATGATACTTTTCGTCACAGTTGACCAATCTATGAGCAGAGGTTGCAGTGTTTTAGGCTGACACAATCATAGAGTCAAAGGCTGATTTCAAGACATCAGCAGGAGAGAGAGAGAGAGAGATCGCTACTCAGCAAAAGATCCTTGAGGTGTTACGATGTTTGACAAAATTAACAAACAGCGTGTCTGAGTAATCAAATTTGCACTAAAACATCACATAATGCTATAATTGTGAATATATCAGCAAACAAACTCTAGTGTTGAGTGCATCTGAGTTACCTTGAGTGAGTCGAAGCAGGCGATGACGCGGCCGTTCTCCACATGGCAGGTTCGAGAGGGGTGAGCAAACTTGCATTCGCTGTCCGAGCGTGAGCAAGTTCCTCTCTGGAACTCTCTGCAGACCTCCAGCGTCAGCCACTTGGTGTCGCGGCCCATGGTCACATTGACAGCCATGGCGGTCCCTCTGCAAGCGGTGGGTGAGCAGAGGCCTGGGGTGGGGCAGCCAGGCGTGATAAAGCACAAAGGCTTCAAAAAATCAGCACAGTGGCAAGGAGATCCACAGTTTAGTCTAGAAACAAAAACCAAACTCTCACAAACAGAAAGGGAGCATACTCTAGTGACCGACCAACCAAAGCGGAAGTATGACAAGAATATGAGATCAGCTTAAAGTCAGGTAGGGAGAGTGAGGAATCCAGAGGACTGAGGTGGGGTAGGTCACTGTGACATGCTGCGGTGCATCTTCGGCTGTCGTCCAGAAAAACAAAGCATTAAATGTAGAGTAGAGCGACACTTTCTGTATGTCTGCAGTGATCGCCCCACCGTCTAGACTCTGGAGATCTGGGTTTAAAATAGCCCTCTTGCATTGATGTAAAATGGACTTTCTCTTATTTTAGGCTTTCGAAACCCCCTTGCCCGATGCCATAGTTGCAGCAGTCCCTAAAGATGCTCTCGCATGACTGGGTCACAAGGGATGGCGAGCTTGCAAAAGAAAAAAAAAACTTTCAGATCTTAAAAGGGAAACTAACTGACTGGAGTCCTTGTATAAAAAGGTGAAATGGTGAGCAGGCAAAGTTGAATCGGGAACAGGCAAATGGGTTGATTGACTGTCAGGGTGAAATATAGCCCGAGCCAAGGCCAAGCGCACACGCGTGCTCTCTGGAGTCAGCAGGGAAGAGAGAGCACTCTGAAGCGGAGACCAGCCAGGACGGGAGTGCAGACGCAGACAAGGGCTTCCGCAGCATCCAGATGAGGCACTTTATGGTGATGCGAGTCTTCTTTCACTTGAATCGCTTTCTCATCCCTGCCGCTTTCCCTGCGTCCCTTTCATCGGACTGTGACTTGTCTTCACGCACTTCTAAGATAGTCCTCTTGCGGATGGAGAACCTGACAAAAACAAAAAAACAAAGGCAACAAACTCAGTTAAGTTGTGAAATACAAGTGGAAGATAACAAAGCAAATGCCTGAAGCTGCAGCTGTTTATGTTGCAAACCTTCAACTGGGGAATACAGAGGTGAACGATAAACAGAGAGAGGCTGAAAGCGCATGGCAGAAAGCGCGAGTGAGAGAGTGCACGAGAGGTAGAGGAGGAGTGCAGACAGGAGGCAGGCAGCAATGCAAAGGAAAGGGCAGGCTGTGTCTTGATTAAGAGATAGAGAGAGGGAGGGAAAAGAGGGAGGAGGCAGGGAAAGGACAGAGAGAAAAAGAGAGAGAGAGAGAGAGCACATGGGACACAGCAACGTCACTTTATGACTCTAAAGTGACAAAGTTAGCCCCAAACATAACAGTGCTCAATGCAGAGGCCATAAACTATGTGGTGATCGCACGCTCTCTGAGTTTCTGAACGCGGCTTTTGTGAGAGAAAAAGAAAGTAGAGCAAGTGAGAGGAAGGGCAAATCCCCATAGCTGCAGCTTTTGAGCACGGAACACTACAGCAGCCAATCAGCAGCTGAGCTGCAACCTGCCAAGGTGGATCGGCCAATCGGGGGAGGCTAATATATCGATCGTTAGTCTCCCCACCCTCTTTGTCATTGCACTGCTCCTTGGCTGAATCCGAAGGAGAGTCTCTCCTGGAGCATTAACGGGAAGGTTCTGACACAGGCGATCACTGCGCCATCTTACTGGAGTCACAGGTGGGAGAATGAAGGGAACAGAAAGGACAAGTGAATGGATCGTTATCGCATTCATTCTGCACGTGGTGATGTGAAAAAAGGGGGAGCAGCACCACAGGGGGATGTGAGTGGGTGTCTTGGGTGGGTCTGACAGCTGATATGCCGTCCCTTGAGAGAGATAGGGAGACAGTACAGTGAAGAATAATCAATGGTGTGATGACCAAGCATACTCAAACCGATGCGGGAGGGAGAGAGGGAGGGAGGGATGGATAAACAAATATCAGGATGGCAAAATGAAAACAAATAAAGCAGAGGTGAACAAGCAGACAGCGAAGGGATTAGAGGAGAGGTTAAGGCAGATATTATCTGTCCCCATGTCTCACAGCGACAGACACAGACGGAGAAGGCGGCAGGTTGAAGGGGTGAGGGGGGGGTTAGTGCGCGTGATCGGAGCACGCAGACAGACGCTCCAGAAGGAGAGCAATGCGGTTAGAAAGATCGGGAGAGAAAATGAGGGAGAGAGGATGGAAATTAAATTAATGACACCCACCTCCAGATACAAGAACAAAGGCACTAAATGCAGTGCAACGTAACACCACGCAAGGCAGAAAGTAGGTTTTACAGCAGGCTGACGTGCAAACCCTCCCCCAATATCAGCCCTACAGTAAGATCGATGAAGACGCCCCCCCAGGGACCGCGGACCAGCATCGAGCGGTTCGTCAGCACTGAAGTTAGCACATCTCTGTCTCAGAGCAGCATGGTACTTCAGCCACACCTGCTTCCTGCACACACACACACACACACACACCAGCGAAAGGCCAATTATCTGATTTATATGTAAGCAGGTGAACGGAGAGGTGATCCGTGAAAAGAACATGTGGCTGTGACGTCAGTCGCTGTGTCTGAGTCCCTCCGCAGACGCCGCTATTACCCTAATATGTAGTACAAGCGCCGCCTGCCCAACAATCTCTAATCCCCCTTGAAATGATAATCAACGTTACTTCTCAAATTGGATGATTTTTATCTACGTGATTTGTAAAGCTAACGATCACACACACCACAAAACAATGGGACAGTTAAAAATAAATGTCTCAAACTGATTTCACAACGTGATTAAGTCAATTATTAACGCAAATTAGAGCAACAAAGCACAACTTGACTAGTTGGTGTAGGCCTGGCCTAGTTATTACAAGCGGAAATTACTGTACAGGCATGAAAGCAGATAGCACTAGATGAAAGTGTAATAGTTTCATTTAGAAGGACCACTAAATTAAAAAAGCAAAAGCAAAACAAGAGTGTTAAAAAAGCTAATTTTGACAGTAGGTTACTATTTTTACTATCTTTAAACAGAAATATATGTATATGTATATATATTTGTCAAACATTTGTGTAACAACACACAATTCAGAACAAGAATCATTTGATGGCACACTACAAGAGTCAAAATATCATAATGCAGTCCTAAAATTCTAATCTATTGTAATTATACATTTTTATATTTTGTCATTGTCGATCTTAGATGATGATGATTATTATTATAAGCCAGTATCATATGATGGCAAGTGTAATATACACTTACTGGCCACTTTATTAGGCACACCTTACCAGTACAGTGTTGGGTCCTCTTTTGCCTTCAGAACTGCCTTAATCAGTGGTATAGATTCAACAAGATACTGGAAATATTCCTCAGAGACTTTAGTCATTATTGACATGATAGCATCATGCAGTTGCTGCAGATTTATTGGCTGCACATCCATGATATGAATCTCTCGTTCCACCACATCCCAAAGGTGCTCTATTGGAAATCACAGTAGATCAGAAGTTTCTGAAATACTCAGACCAGCCTGTTTGGCACCAACAACCATGCCACATTCAAAGTAACTTAAATCACCTTTCTTTCCCATTCTAATGCTCAGTTTGAACATAGATCATCTTGACCATGTCTACATGCCTAAATGCATTGAGTTGCTGCCATGTGATTGGCTGATTAGAAATTTGCATTAACAAGCAGTTGGACAGGTGTACCTAATAAAGTGGCCGATGAGTGCAAATGATAAGTGAGAAACATAAGCACTGACGTATTTAAAAAACGTTATATAAACTAATATCAATACCTAAAGAAAAATTAAAAGCAACTGATATGTTATTGATAAACTGCATCACGCATCCCCTATATTTTACTCTAACCAGCACTAATCAGATAATTTATGCCTTCTTAAACCATCTGAATGGTGCAAGAATGAATCAGATTTTGCCAGGGTGCTTTGGCTGAGCAAGCAACACCATGTGAAATTAAAAACAGCAATGCAGCATTTGGAATGCACATGCTGTAAAAACTAGTGTGTTATGAAAATCATCAAATATAATGCTTAGAACGATTCACTTCAATTGACAACTGGAAGCAAAAAAATAATAAACCTTCAAAATAGGATGCACTTCACACAAAACGAGTATCTCTGATGCACAGGCAAGAAGACAAATAACCTTGTGCTCGATACTAATAACATCAGCTATATGTACTGCAATTGTTCTACAGGCTAGTGTAAGTGCTGGTTGTGTGTAGTCAGTTTACTTTGATGTTCTACATCAGGAAGGCAGCTGGGCAGTGGATATACAACACAGCATAAGTGTGTGTGTGTGTGTGTGTGAATTGGGCGCAGATATCAGAAGTGTGGAGGAGGCGAGTGTGCATTGTTTCTACAAGGTCACTGAGCTGTATACACACTGCACTTGTAGCACTGTCCTACAGGCAGCGAATGTGTATGCACAACTATCAAAGGCAAAGTCAATAACGGGAATGTATAGAAGACAGTGGATTTAAGAAGAAATACCTTTTGACAAGACTAAGCTGTGGTATGTAGATAATATTGTACTCTATGAGGCCGCCTCAGTCTGAGAATGTATAAACATGACACAGCTACTGTCTGTCTATGGGAAATAACATAATTCCTGCTCAATGCGCATGAAATGTAAATTCATGTTCTGTAAATGCACGTTAATTGATCTCACTGTAAATAATTCTTGTGCAAATGCATACTTTTTTATTGACTTTGACAAATCTTCATCAAAATTAGTTTTAAGATGTAGATTTCTTCTATTAGTTAGTGTAAACCTCACCTCTCTGAAATTAACTGCAAGTTTGCATTTATTTTTTGTTACTAGGAATGCAACGTTTATAGATTTTGGTTGTACGATTATAGTGTGCGGAATAATCACGATTTTACGGTTATCACGATTATTATGCATTCATTAATTTCAGAACACTACTACTAGTTTTGAAAATCACATGAAAACTGATATTTATTGCTGCTCAGTAACCAAATAACATTCATTCATTCATTTTTTTGGCTTAGTCCCTTTATAATTCGGGGTTGCCACAGCGGAATGAACTACCAACTTATCCAACACGTTTTTACGCAGCGGATGCCCTTCCAGCTGCAACCCATCTCTGGGAAACATCCACACACACTCATTCACACTCATACACTACGGACAATTTTGCTGTCCCAATTCACCTGTACTGCATGTCTTTGGGCTGTGGGGAAACCGGAGCAGCCAGAGGAAACCCACATGAACACAGGGAAAACATACAAACTCCATACAGAAACACCAACTGACTCAGTTGAGGCTCGAACCAGTGACCTTCTTGCTGTGAGGCGACAGCACTACCTACTGCACCACTGCGCTACCAAATAACACAAACATTAATAATAAATAAATAATCCAGCACAAAATAATAATTAAAAACAAACAATAGTCCATTTCTCTTTGGACTTAAAAATAAGTGAAAAAAAGGGTTTTGGCTTTTAAACATAAGTAATAATTTTACACTGAAAATAAATGACAGAACAATGAATAAATAAAAAAACTAAAATAAGAATAAATAAAAAAATTATTTGTTTAATATTATTCTAAGCTACATATTAGCTAAGTATTTCCCTTTTTAAAGAGAACAAATGTAGTCAAAGGCTGTTGAACCTCTTTTAACATAATATTACAACATTGTTTGGTATTTTCATTTTCTATTTTTCTCTCTCTTTGGAGTAGAAATATGTTCATTTTATACAAAGTGCCTGGAAAGCGTGAGGATGTTGTGCTGCTTGCTGGCTGCGTGCGCGTCTCTCGGAAATAGCTAACTGGCACGTGCATAAGACGAGATATGTAAATGGCCTCAGCCATGGTTAACCCTGTGTGTGTGTGTATTAGCCTTTACAAGCTCTTAACTTTAAACAAGAGCACAGTTGGCATAACTTTGTTTAAGGCTGGTTTATACTTCTGCATCGAGTGATCGGCGTGACCCACGTCGCCTGCCTTGCTCGTAGTCATGCATTTGAACTTTTATGTTCTGTTTGTGTTGCTCTGCAATAACACTTCTGAAACGCTAGCTGGCAGTAGGTTATGTTATGTTCCTCTGTATCATGTTTCTTCACGGGTGTTTTGTTTTTTCTGAACGCTACCTTAATGTACAAGCAGCTATAACTCACTCATTCAGAATTGGGAACCGGCGAACGTGCAACAACCTTAATCATATAGTAAATATAAAACAAAAGTTTTCATCTGGAGCTCCTTCACCGGACTCGACACTCACTCCATCTGCCTCTGGGGTGTCAGCACCGCCCACGTTCGTCAAAGCTACCAAGCTGACCAATCACAGAGCTTGCGCGATGCGTCATTGTGATGAGTATTTTTGAGAGGTGTGCACTGCTTTGGCATCAGCCAGAGCAAGGGCTATGCGACCGCGTGATGGCTGCGTCAGACTATACACGTGTGCTTGACGCAGAATCAGCCTTTAATCAGCAGTTTTGTTCTATGCAGAAACACAGTATTAAGAAACCTTTACGATAAATTAACCATGATGAATTAAAGCACGGTTAATATTGAAATCCATTAATCGTTGTATCGTTAATTGGGACACCACATTTTACATTGCAATCATCAACAAATACACAGATTCAAGTTTATAGTCTCCATTTCTATATTTTTGGCTAATTAGTTTCACTTGGACGTAAGTTGCAATAAGGCGCTATTCACACTAGTAGTTGTCTTGGTTTGTTTAATCTAAAGCATAAAAAAAGAAAATACCATATTTAGTCCTTGTTCTCTGACCGTTTGCTCTGGCATTTTTAGACTGAAAAAATCTTGCTGCCTTACATTGTCATCTAAACTTACATCAATCAAGCTGACTAAAAAATATCAGTTAAACTTAGTACGACTCAAAACATTTAGTTGAGACCTGATTACCTAAGTTAATAAGTTAAAGCAACATAAAAATATGTTTGCTGACTTTTTGTCTTTCCATTTTTTTAAAAGTGTATAACCAAATGTAAGGAAACAAAAAAGGCTTTTAAAACTCATGAAGAGCTAGATGTGAAAATGTGTGAAGGAGAGAAAACTTTGTTTACAAAAACAAAGCTCTGGTGCAATGAAACTGTTTGGAACTGTAATGGTTGAAGTTTGAGCATTATGGCCTGTTTTAGTTACGTTTTGAGACCTGGGGTCCGTTCTTCATACGTGAATTACTCAATTAGCTGGATAGGTTATTGACGTTGAAGTTAAAATATATAGAAATAAAACTTAAAGCAATTTGAAGCACAAAAACATGGGGTGGTTCTTCAGGGGTTCAAAGAGAATGTTTATTAATATGGAATTTTTAGATACAAATGCATACTATTTTAGTCATGCACACGCTTTGACAGCTAATGTGACAGTGATTTGATGCTCTGCAAAAGTTGCAGACACACTTAACGATGTCAAAATGTTTTTTTTAAATTGCTAAATTAAT